CCCCCCCCCCCTTCATGCACCTCTCATCACACCGGTCCTGAAAGATGGACGGGAAAGCACACAGATAGACACATACAGAGAGACAAAGACACAGAGACAAGACACATACATACACACAAAAGCAGGGAGAGTTTCAGTTTGTTTTATTTGCGTTTTTTTCTTACTCATGCTGCCAACCGCAGGCCGACTTCATCCGCTACGGCAACGCCAACCAAATCATGAAAATGTCCAAAGAGCACCCCCCCCAGCTCTGGAACTCCGTCATCGACAACGACTACGCCGCCTTCGCCAAGATACACACCCGCCTGCTCAACGCCCCGGCCACGCTCAAGCACGCCCCCATCCGCATCTACGTCCCCTCGAGTCCCTCCCCCTCAAACGCTGCAAGCGGCGGCGGCGGCGGTGGTGGTGGTCATGGTGATGATGCCCCCGCCGCCGCCGCCCCTGCAGCCGGTGAAGCTGGCTCCTTCAGAGTCGTCCAGTCCCTGGTCCCCGTCGTCGCGCCGGACCGCAAGCCCAAGCTGCTGGGGCAGGCCCTCAAGGACCTCATGCCCACGCTCTTCCCCAGCAGTCGGGATCCCGTGCTGGCGAGCGTCGTGCTCCACGGCGTGCCGGCCCCTTTCAGCGCGCCCTTGGGGGAGATGATGAGGGAGGCTGCATACCCTGATGGCTGGCTTTGCTTCGTTGTCGTCGTCTGAGGGTGTACAAAGTATAGTCACTAGGTATCGTTACGCAGAGAGCTCGGGAAAAAGACTTCGAGTCATGATGGGGAGTGGCGTCTGGGAACGGCTAGCGAGTTTTGGATTCTCTTGAATTTACGACGTTGTGTTGGTAGATTGCACTGACATGGGCTTTAGCCATCTATACACCTCCCTGCTATATCTGGCTTTGGCTGGATATGCAACCACGTCCGGCAAACATCCTACGTAAACTTGACCTCCTTGCCCATCAGGCTTCTATATGCGTTCTCAATGGCCTTCCTCTTCCTCTGCTTGGCCTGCTGGTCCTCGCCAGCCTCTTCGTCCTCGTCCGCATCCTCTGGCCCCGGCACGTGCGGCATCCACGCTCGTATCTGCCCGTCCAGATGGCCGCTGTAAATGGCCCCGATCGAGTTGCCGCCTCCCATGGCAGGCCCAACCTGCCCACTGCCACCCCCTGCACTGCGCCACGCAATGTTGGTGATGCGGTTCCGCCCCGCCTCGCTGCCCCGGACGCCCGTGGAGTGCGTCGAGCCGGGGCTCCGCAGGCGACTCATGACAGTCCCGTCGTGGAGGTCCAGCAGCAATATCTCCTGCTCGTTGGGCCAGACGAGCAGCTGGCGGCCGGTGGAGAGGCCCGACGGGGTGACGAGGAAGCTCGCAGTCTTGGCGTGCTGGTTCTGCACAATGGCGCCAAAGCTGGCAAGCGTGTTGGCCCCCGTGTCGGCGTCCCAGACCCTGATGCGGCGGTCAAGGCCAGCCGACACAATGTACCTGCCGTCGTCGGTCCACTGCAGCCCGTTGACGGCGTCGTCGTGGGCCTGGGCCGAGACGCGAAAGTGCGGCATGCTGCCCCAGTCGGAGCCAGACGCCGTGGCGTGCCTGAAGCGGTGCACGACGCCCAGCGAGTCCTCCTGGTCGAGCTGCGCGACAACGCCACCGGCGCGTCGAACGTCCCAGACGCGGACCCTGCCGTCGGCGTGGCCACTGACGAGGACGTGTTCGTGGCGAGGGCTCCACGCCGTGCTGAGGACGGGACCGCCGTGGGCGACGAGGGCCTGCACCGCCGATCCCGACTTGAGGTCCACGAGGCGGACGTTGGAGTGCTGGGTGGCGCACGCGACGAGCAGATGGGCCGCGATCGGGCTGCAGGCGTGCGAGTAGACGGTGGCATTCAGGTCGAACTCTGCAGACAGGGCCGCCCTGGCAGTGGCCCACAGCTTGAGCGTCTTGTCGTAGGAGCTCGACAGGAAGGCGTCGGCGTCGAAAGGGTAGAAGGCCAGGTGCGTGACGCCGTGGCTGTGGCCGCCGCTCCTGGGCCCGGCGGTCGAGCGCGGTATGTGGCCCACGGGCCGAAAGGTGTGCGTCCGATGCGGGCTCGCGCAGCCGCTGTCCAGGTCCCAG